TTTTTTACAAAACTTTCGAACGAACGAACGAACAAAACAATTTTTTTAAATGCTTTCGAACGGTCGAACAAGTGTTCGAAAGTGTTCGACGGCCAACACTATCTACTACCTTCTCAGTGCTTCTATTCAATGATTGGCCCCTCGTTTTTTTCTTTGTCTTTATTAAATTTTCAATCAAATTTATATAATAATTGATAATTTTTTTTGATTCAACATTTATGTGTAAATCGAATCATATAATATAAATCATTCTAATCCATCCATCCCATACAATTTTTGAACTCAGAATAGCGTTTTATGTTGATCGCGTTGATATTCTAAAGCCGATTTTAGAATGAAACGAAACCCTTTTGAAAGCCTTTAGATTTAAGCAATTTTTATATACATATATCTTCTACCAAATAAAATCCAATAAAGTTCCTAATAAACAAAAGTTTTTCCAATAAATCCAATATTGATTAATAAATTGAAATTACTTGGGTTTATTTAAAACCAATTTTTATGTAACTGATATGAGACAAACAACGCGCATAAATTACGAAATTCAATAAAAAAAAATCTGTGTGTTGAATTTTTTTGAATATTATCAATTTTAAAACGGTCTAACTCTTCAATAACATAGAAGATTCGAATAAAACGAACGCAGTCCTTATGAAATCGCAATTTTGAAACATAAATTATTGATGGTCAAACTGTGTATGATCAAAATGACTTGAAGAGCCCTTCTTTCTGCGCGAAAGTATGAATTTATGCTGCCTGTCTTGTGATTGCATGTGATCATATAGTCTCGGTCATTTCTTCATCCAGGCGGAAATGCGTTGGTGTTGCATCGTTGACTTTCAGCGATACGCTTCACCTGATTTTCTTCGGAGGCAAACACAGGAGTCGATATGTTGTCCATCAAGTATGTGTTCATGTGGAATTGCACTATTTCTAGTACTTGCCGCAATTCAAGAGAAGAAGGGGAAAATAATTGCGATCATAAATTGAATTTTGTAAGTATAGTATAGCAAAATATAGTAGTAGGCACTGGCATGTTACAAATTATCCTCTCAAAGTATATGTATTCATTTAAATCGCATGTTTTTCGCAGTCTTTGATGGAATTTTTAATTCATATATCAACAGTGCAATTTTCAAAAATGAATGCATCGTCACCAAAAGGTTGGCTGGTTTGGAGACAGGAAGAGTGCAATTTATTAAATTTTTCTCTTTAGTTGACTTGGATAAAGGTAATTATTTCGGAAGATAATCATTAATCACGCACAGACAAAATGAAATTACCGAAATTTTCACATAATAACTCATAGTCAGTGTCTGTTGATTCCAGTACAGCACATTACGTTTGAGAAGGCATTAAAAAAAAAGCAAAATTATTCCATTATAGGCTATTTGTTCCCGAAATTAAATCGAGACAATGCCAACCATTCGACCGATGTTGAAAATGGAATGAGAACCGCAGAGCTGAGAGAATATAACAGAATTATTTTGATCATACCTCGCTCGATTCAAGTAGTAAATTGAATCCAGATAGAGAGAGAGAGAGAGAGAGAGAGAGAGAGAGAAAATCGTCGATTCTTGTTTTCAATTCGAAATGGTCAAGTGTAAGTGGTTTTTTGTCCATTTGGTACCGAAATTTGGTATGGTTTGATGAAACGAAAGCAATCAAATTTCTGAAGAATCAACGAAGCAAAACATGGAAAACGACAAAATGCTCATTCTAACACCACAAAAAAGAGCTATTTTCATTTCAACTTGAAGCGTACTGATTCAGGAAAAAAAAAGTACGTGATAGAAAAAAAAGGCCAAAAGTAGTGTAATTGTAAAATCAATTAGCGTGGAATAAGAAACGTTTAAAATTGAATTTGTTCGTTTTACCCAAAATAAGACTGGTTGCGAACTGGTCGTACCATTCCATTTGAAATTCGATAGTAACAACAAACTAGAGGAAGCATTAAAGTACTAGATGTGTGTGCGCGACATAAAAGTATGTTCATGTTGAAGATTTTGATCGAAAAAAATTCGTTATGCTATTCGCATGATGTGTGCATTCGGCTTGATATAATTGTCGTGGAATCTATTCATTTTGTTGTTTTTTTTAAAATTCCATCTTGAAAGGCGAAGAAGTTCACTTGATTTCGATGTTCAGTTTTTCCTTAAATGCGTACGCTCTATAATTAATAATTATTCACGAAACTATTGTATGCACGATGCTCAGCTCCATATTATATAATTAGGGCTCATTTTTTGTTGTTGTTCTTCAACCGTTTGGTTCTTCGTTCTTGATCGTGCAGTGAAAATTATAACTTTATACAAAGAGTAATTAAAAGAAAATGCTCTTACAACCAGAATCTATGATATTGCGTTCACTCACGGCTTACATACCCAAACCGAATGCTAAGTACACACAGCAATTGTCCTACGCACTTGTTCATGTTTCGTTCATGCTTCAGTAACAACCATTTTATAAGAAGTGGAAAAAAACATGCGAAAATGTGAACATTTGTGATGGAAAGAGTACACATTCATGTGAATCTAAGATGACGCGACCCAACTTGATATAAAGCCACGCAACTGATGAACACAAAAGTACATTTTTTTCGCAAATTAATTTCTATTTTTTATTCCAACAATTTCTTTAGCTTTTCGAAATTATTCTAAAATGTGAAACGGAAAGATTATTTTTTTACAGAGTTTATCGAGTGCAAATCTTGAATAGAATTCGATCGCAATGCGGACCATTTTATTTATGCTTTGTGATGGTGGTTGAGCCGTGGGCTTGTTTGCTTCCGCTGAGAACAATGAATGGACTGTGAGTTTCCTTCTGCTTATGCTGCAACATGGTCAATGTACCTAACGGTGTATCGGTCGAACTCATTTTCATCATGAGCTGTGTGTGAGAAATAGAAAAGAAAAAAAATCGGAAAGACATGTGATTAGTTAAATTTCGATTCAGATGATGTAGTTTTTCCCATGGATCCAATGCCATACTGCACTTACTCCGTCTTGTTCGACCTTCTTAAGACGTTTTTCGATCTTATTCTTACCAGGCCCCTTGCCATGGAACTTATGCGACAAATATCGGAATGCTTCTTTTTCATTTAGCAAACGGCCACTATCATCGATGTACTCGAGCTTGACATTCGGCTTGTAGTTGTCTTTCTCTTTGAAATCACTCGACGGGCCGCTGTGGAAGCGATCACGGCGATTGAACTTGTCGTCCTCGCTGAAAAACAAAGTGTAAATTTTAAATGTTAGCAAACATCGATATCCATTTTATTGAAACCGTAAAAATAAAATCCAATTTCTCAACACTCCACAAGTTCAATATGAAAATGTAAAGTTAAACCGAAAAATGTAATGTCTTGGTTCAAAAAGCCAATTTTTCGCCTGATTTTAATGCATACCCGTGCGTTTTATCTTCAATGGCATAGTTTTGCGCCAGCAAGTGCGCCATTCGAGTGTTGCTCGGTCGATTTGATTCTTCTTTCTCTAGGTAACCTTTTGACAAAGCCAATTTTAGCGCAGCTCCCATACCGGCTGAAACATCTGGTTCTTCGTCCAAAATGGCCACTTCGGCTATTTCTAGATGTTTCTCTATTGGTTTTGTCTCTAAATCGGGATTGACTGAATTCCATGTACCCGTCGTTGGTTCCTCTTCCTCCATTGGTTCAGCCGCTTCCTCGTGCTCGCTATCTAAATCCATAATTTCATTTGCATCCACACCTCGATTGCCCGACTGGCCGTACGTTGGAATATCACCAAGTGTTCGGCAAAATTCAGCCGTTTGATTCAATGTGATGAAATCATTTGAGCTCAGTTCATCGTCTGAGTCAGGCTCTGCCTTGACTTCGGCTTTGATTTTATTCACATCCAAGCCCATGGTCTTCACGGCTTCGACTTGCTTCAAGCGTCTGGCCTGAAAAGAGACAGCAAAATCAACAATTGTTTCAATTGCGCCTGCACAGTTTTGAATCAACAGGTCAACACACTTTCTGACTGAATCCCTTGACATCTCTGATTTCAACTCACCTTTGACAAAATGTGTTCCAGTTCGTTGTCCTCTTCTTCAATTTTGATTTCCTCCTTGAAGTCGGACATATTCACATCGTCTGTATCTAGTACATCCGACAAATGACGGTTGGGATCACGTTTGCGATGATCCAATGAGTCAGTATCTGTTGGCAATGGTTCAAGATCTTCAGCCTTCAACTTTCTGCGCAATTTTTTTATCTTCTTTTTCGGCTTTTTGAATCTGAAATTTCGAATTGAAAATATAGTCATTCGACTATTCATCATAATGACGCATATTTTTTGTCCGTTTATGTGAATTTGAAAACATTCATAAACAATTACTTCCGCTGCGATTAACGTTTTGGTTTTTATCAGAAATCGTTAAAACGATTTTAACATCATGTCAAGTGACGGATGTTTTTGATGTCATAGAGAGTGAGACAATGCAATCGGTTAATCGAAATTGCTCGTTTCGATACGGTATTGTGCTCATCAATAGCGGGTTTTGTAGATTGAAAAAACAATTATTTGAAAGCCACTTTGTTGGCAAATTAGAGAATAATTACGCGCAAAGTACAGTGATGTGAACGCATATATAAAGTGATGCAAATCACCGTGTTCAGGTATAGTTTGGAATTGAGCATTCAGTGAAGATGTCACCGAAAACTTTCATCTGTTTTTTGATTTTGGTAACTTTTGTAAAACTCAATTTAAGAAGAAAAAAAATCATTTGAAATATCTTGAATTTTGTTTAGCTTGTGACCATTGTGCACATAGAATCAGCCGAAATTCCAAAGGAAGCGGTCGATTCAACGGAAATACTAATGAAGGAGGCAAAATTAACGGATAAAGTTGACGATATGACCGCGGAGGAGACCGACGCGCATGGCATGATGAAAATAATTGGTGATGTCGTGCAAAAGGCGGAATCACTTCCAGCCATTTAAAATTATGGGCTACTTACGTGGCTAGTTCCGACTCGGTGTATGTGTCAGAGGCTGGAGCAATCAGTGGTTCATTTAACGTTTCTAAACGCTTACCGGCCAATTTAGATTTTATCTGAAATAAAAAATCGTTTGAGAATAAAGTCGTTTTTTTTTAAATCAAAACATTTGGTATACCTCTTGCAATCTTCGCTTCTGAGCGATTTCCTGCGCAACATTCTGTCCAATGGTGAATGTTTTCTTTTTCTTTTTACCATCGATTTCTTCGTCGTATTTACCCAAAACACCGCGATCGATAGGGTTTCCAAACTCATCCACTTCTTCGTCAAAGACATTGTAACCATATTGATTGGGATTCAGTCTTTTGTTCTCGATATTTTTGCGGTAACGTTCATCGTCAACCATATTCACATTCATCAATACATCACCGTCTTCCACATCAAGAACATCCTTATCTTTTAGCGTTAGAATGACCGATTTACCTTCTGTGAATGCATCTAAATCATGATCGACTTTCAGCCCCTTCAAACTGTTCTCTGAGTAAATTTTCTTCTTCTCTCGCCTCGTTTCCTCTTGTACCAATTCACCAACTCCGAATTCATCGTCCATCTCTTCCAAAATTTTGGCTCTACGCTGAGCTTGGGCTTTCATCTTTTCCTTCTCTCGACTCGAATTGACCCATTTGGATACATCATCATCTGAATCGTGTTCGCCGAGTGTTTTGATCGATTTCATCTTCTTTTCCAATGCTCGCCTCTCTTTGTTCTGTCGGAATTTCTCTCGCAACTTTTCGGCTTGCAATTTCTCCGACAGATTATTTGCTGGCTTGTGGTAGAATTCACCCCATTCATCTTTGTGCATTTGTTCACCTTCGGCATTGGTTTTCTTCTTCGACGGTGATGCTCTCTCATTGGAATCAACTTGCAGTGGTTTCAAACCCAATTTTGCACGCAATTTATTCGTTTCTTCAATGGAAAGCGAGTCACCGGCGCCATTCTCTGGAATTGGTGATGGTGATTTGGCTGATTTGGCTGGCTTGGAAATGACTGGAGCTGGCGGTGGCAATGGCACTTCAACACAATCTGAACCTATGGAAAATTGAAATTTTATATAAATGAATCAAGTAGTTTTGACGGAATTCGTTTCAACTTACTGTCACTATGAATCTCTGGTTCTTGTTTTGAGCGTCTGGATCGACCAGGGCTTCGGCTTCTTTCGCGACTTCTATCGCGATGATGGTGTTTTCGCGATTTTGATGAGTCCTTGTGTTTGTGTCTGTGTCTATCCTCTTTTTCATCTCTGTCTCTTTCTCTGCTTCGTCGATTGGATATACTCGGTGGTGGTGGTGCAATTGGTGACCTCGAACGACTCTCCGACGATGAACGAGAATGTGAACGTTTGTGGCGACGAGACGAATCGCGCTCTCTTCTTCTTTTCCGCGAACCCATTTTTAAGTTGTTTGTCGCTTTAAAACTCAAATAATTTAGGTTAAAATCCTTCTAATTTATATATAAAGAGACACACAACACAATTTTTTGGTTTGCTTAGTGTCAATGCTATGCAAACTATGAATGACATAACCTCACAATCACAAATGTCATAAACACTATACGTTTGGAAAAGTTATCGCATCGGATGGGTTTCGACATTGTTTTGACAGCCAAACCGATTCACTCTATTCAGTGCGTTAAGCTTCGTTCAGATTAGCTGTGGAATTGAATGCATTTGCTGTGGTATCTTGTGTGTTTTGACAGAATGTGACACAATCAAAACAATATTGCTATTTTCAATGTGATAAAATTTATTCTGGTTTTTCTTTGTGAAAATCGTATTTTTCCAATACTTTACCAAGCTCATTGAACATTGAAAATGGAACAAGAAATTGATAAAGTCTTAGACGACACGTAAGAAAATTGTTTGCAATTACAGAAAATACGATTTAGTTATGAATATTTTGCTATTTCAGAATTGCCAATGAAAATATTACAGCATGTTTGAGTGCGAATCGACACGGCCTTTGCATTGGAGGTATGGTTTTCTGTTTTTTATGTTTCGCTTTGGAACATAGATTTCTATACAATGCCTTTCTCCAGTTTGCTATTCATATGATTGTAATCGAATTTTGTTTGTTCTGCAGCTCGTGGAAACATTTCACAGCAATCGTCTGGTCTACTAGTTGCGCTGCTTGACCAAGCTCAAAAATTGGAACCACAATCCGGTCCGCCAGTCGTTATATTGGAAACAGCAAAGAAGTATGCAAGTTAAATTACCAAATTGTGCTCTTTGCTTATAAACGGAACTCTCTTTTGTTTACAGCTCTTGTTTGATCCACAAACATGGAGTTACCGGAGTCATTGTGAAGAATCTCGACCGAACGAATTAATCTAATCACAAGGAAAAATCCAATGAATTCGCATAAGAAGCATGTTTGTTTATTAAGATATGTTCATATTTGGAATTCCAAATAAAAAATAAACAATTTTTTTAATTAAATTTTGCTGATTATTCGCTTATCTGGCTTTCAATGTGAATAGTTTTGGTTCATTGTGTTTGATTTGAAGGAAAGAAAGAAGGAAAGAAAAAAATTTGAATCTCGCCACAATGTCTAATCACGCTGGCAACACTTTATATGTTGTTTCTAAATGAAACAAAATCAGCTGTTATTCATTTTCAAACTTGCATCATTTAGTTTGAATTTTCGTTTGAATTATCTTGAGTTTATTTATTTATCGGATGGAAAAATTCCTTGCAAATCATCACAAATCGTTCAAAACCGATTAAAATCTAAGCTCCTCCCACCGCAACACAACAAAACCGAATGTGGAATGTGTATGCAAAGCGAAATGACAGAAGCATCACACTGACCGTTTGGCGTGCACACACTTGACTCACTGTTGCAAGCCACATTCATTTGTACACAGCACTTTGGTGAGGCTGGATCATACTTCGTTTCGTCTGTCATAGATTTTTGTCATTTTGATTTCTTTTTCAATGAAAGAATAATATTTCATTTGGAATTTTGTGCTGATTTGTTATTGTTGTGGACGAGAGAGAGAGAGAGAGAGAGAGAGAGATAAATCTGGAAATAGCATATCATTAGGAACCGATAGTGTTTGGTTTGAGTGTAAGTATTTTTGGTAGTTTGTTATTTGATTTTATTGATTGTTGATGGCATAGTTCGATACATGTTTGACAGCATGTAAACAACGCACTGAAATAGCAATGGTTGATAAGTTGAATCGAAATAATCGAAAATATGTTGATCGATTACATTTTTTTTTTTTCAAAAATGAAGACAAATATTAGCCGATGGATTTTTTTTTTCTTCGATTCAAAATACATTCAAGCATTTTTCGATGGCGTTATTTCAATGTCTACTATCATATCCGGTGACTTGATCATAACATGTTTAGCATTCGTTAGACATTCACTTCACAAATCGTGTTCGTTTTCATATGGAATCGACAAAAGTGCATTTTAATCCGAGATTACGGGTGCACTTTGACACCTCCATCCATTTGCACCTTTCTGAGAGCGCCTCTCTCCGAACGGCAATTGATGCTTTCTTCAGATTAATTCCATTTTTTGTGCGTGTGTGTGTCGCTAAAGAGCATCATAAAACGTATATAACACAAAGTCACCATAAAATAGTCCCTGTCTAATGATCGGCTAAAAACACCTCACCTTACCGTAATTATGCTAATTGCAGGTGTATTTATCTGTTTTGCATGTTTTTTTTCTATCTATTTTGTATATATATATTCGCAAAGAACGATCATAAAGATTAGTACTTGAAGTAGCAGGTATTTGTCCTAGAAAAGTGCACTGTATTTTTAACGGATCTTTTTTAAAACGAAACCAACATTTCAACACATTTCAACCATAATTTGTTTGCATTATTTCACCATAGAACAACAAGAGAAGAGAAGAGAAAAGAAACGAGATGGATTCGAACGGTCGACCTCTAAGTACATTTGCGAAGATAACGAAATTTTTCCGAGGTAATCCGAAGCAGATGTCATGGAAACAAAGTGACGAAAAGGAAGACTGGGCCAATAAAGCCGTTGATGCACTTGTAAAGAAACTTAAGAAGCAACCACATGCATTGGAGAAATTGGAACAAGCATTGGCATCGAAAAATGCTCAATCCGATTGTGTTACGATTCCAAGATCCATGGATGGACGTTTACAGGTAAAACACACAATATGCTAACTCAAGATTAGTTCGAAAACTTAATTACGATTTAATTTAGGTATCGAACTGTAAAGCATTGCCGCATGTAATCTACGGTCGCGTATGGCGTTGGCCTGATTTACAGAATCACAACGAGTTGAAAAGCGTTCCAAATTGTCAGTTCCCATTTTCGAAGGCCAAACGATCGGATGATGTTTGCATCAATCCCTATCACTATGAGCGAGTTGAAAGCGGTGTGCTACCGCCAATTTTGGTGCCACGGTGTTCAGAATTTGCACCAGGCTTCTCAAAGTTGCCATTGCAACAGCATCAGCGTCCGGAACAAATGACAATGCCGCGGAATGTAGTCTATGACAATAATCGGTTCAGTGCTCAGTCAACAAATGGCTATAGCACAAGTTCGCAATGTTCATCGGAACCAAATAGCCCAATAACATCACCAATGTTAAACCAATCCAATGGATTTCAATTACAAAACTATCAATATCCAGCAATGGAAGCAACACCATCGCCACCATGGAAACAGGAAAATTATGGATTTGACCAAAATTCCGCCGGCATGGTACAAGTCCATTACGAAGAACCCGAATATTGGGCAACCGTTGCCTACTATGAGCTGAACAGCCGTGTTGGTGAACAATTTCGATGCAGCACAAACTCACATTCACTAATCGTCGATGGATTCACGCATCCATCATGCAAAACATCAAATCGATTTTGCTTGGGGCAACTTAGTAACATCAGTCGGAATAGCACGGTAAGACCCAAATCAAATGGGTATATTCAATCCGAGTCGAATTGAGTAAAATTTTCGTATTTATTCCGATTTCTTTCTTCTTCTTCTTATTATTACTATTCTTATAAAATTATTTCAATTTTTCCAGATCGAATCAACACGTAAACACATTGGCAAAGGCGTGAGCATTTACTACAGGGGCCAAGAGCTATATCTGGATTGCTTGTCCGATCATCCGATTTTCGTACAAGGTTCAATGATAAATCATATTCATGGTTTCGATCCGCATGTAGTTTGTAAAGTGCTGCCTAGGTTTAGCTTGAAAATTTTCGATTTCACTGAATTTAGCAATTTGCTCGGGAACGTTGTTCATTCCGGATTTGAGGCAACCTATGGCCTAACCAAAATGTGTACGATTCGAATCAGTTTTGTCAAGGGCTGGGGAACCACTTATCACCGATTAGATGTCACATCGACGCCGTGTTGGATTGAATTACATTTGAACGGACCGCTAAAATGGTTAGACCAGGTTCTCACACAAATGGGATCTCCTATGGCCGGTATAACATCAGTTTCTTAAACCGAACACATTTAAAACTTTTTTTAAATCGATCATATTGGGCATAATCCAAGTTGTCATGAATTGAATCAATAACATTTATATATATATTAAAAAGTAGGTAGGTTCATTCAGTAATCAGTTAGTGTGTCAAAATGTGTCTGTATCAAAGGTTAGTTTGTAGATTTTAGACGAATTAAGAAGAGGATAATTAAAGAAATGAAGGAAAACGTAGAAAATTACGAAATCGAATAAATAAATTTTCAATTGAATTTTTTTGATGAATATTTCAAAATAAAGATGTGCATTTTGTGCCCCGACCAATAACTGACATTAGACAATTTTATTGTGAATCGGAGAGATGAGAGAGAGAGGAAAATAGTGTTGTAACATGCGATCATCTTGGCAATCACGGCAAAGTCATGAGTGTGAAGCGTGTTTCTGTGTGCGTTGAACGAACGAAACAGAGAAGCGAATTTGACAAAACATAAGCGACAACACTTGTTCATTCCTTTTGACCACACAATACAAGTGCACACAAAGCGATTCACGAATGTTTTGGTATGTACATTTTTATCACTCGTACATGAAGGAATTGGTGTGCTGTGCGCACACATGTATGTGTACGTGCGGTGTGTTTGTGATGATGACAACAACGATAGTTGTAGTGGTGAAAGAGTAAAACACGATTGAAAGAACCGAGTGATGTGAGAAGAGGAAAAAAAAACGGTTGCAGACGATATGAATAGTAAAAGCCAAGACACGGAACCGTCAACTTTATGTATTTGTACTGCTGTGTGCCTTAAGTCACTTGATTTTTTTTTTCATCGTTCGTTCATCGTTTATGAACTTCTGCTGTCTATCAGTGCATTAGTTTGTGTCAAAATTGACCAAACTTTCATTCTGTTCACTTTTTGGAATACAAATCAACACATTTTTGGTGGTAAACAAACGGATTCTGTGGATTAAAATAAATACTTTCAAATCAAGTGTTGAGTTGAGTAAGTAAAAAAAAATTTGATGGTTTATTTGTTGAATGTGATTTGCGTGTTTTGATGAAACGATTTTTGGTCATAGAAAAATAGAATGCAAACAAAAAAAGAAGAATAAATCAGTGAAAATTCAAACTAAAGTGATAACATATAAAAACAGAACGGTTGAGATCGTGATATTGGTTTTTTTGTCAATTTTTTTTTTTATTGAAAACGGGTTAAACCACATTTGGGCAAGTCATTAAAGGCTACACACAGAAGAAAAAAAAACGTCAAAATACGAAGGAAATTCCTTTCAAAAATCAATTTATTTAGTTCTTGCTCTTCTTATTTGTTTTGTTAAAAGCACTCAATTGCAGCTGCACAATTATCATATGACTCGAACGCATTATCGTCGATCAATTGAAATCTGATACACATCATTCAATCAATTGAATTGGATCAAAATCATTCGAATAAATCAAAGGCAAATGAAACAAAGATGCCCGTAGTTCATGTTTTGACACCATTTTTTTCATAGTTTTTTCTTTTCTTTCTTCAGCCATCGTTCATAACGTGTGTTTGCTTCTCTTTCGCACGCCAGTTGACTTCATGTGTAGTGTATGAACTGGTTTGAGAGCGAGAAAGAGAGAATGACGAATAAAGTTGAAGACGAAGGAAAAAAAAAATGCAAAATAACTACATTGAAAGCCAGGATTGATTGTGTGAGCTGAGCGAATCAGGCAACACTCGTTCGTATCCACATATTCAATCGTATAGTTGAAATCGTCCTCTCTTTTTCCTCCATATAACAACTGTTTCACGCGAATCATGCGCACACCACAATTTTACACCTACAACTCCAATCGTAGCTCCACCGAATCGCGCTCTCTCGCGCTCGTATGTGTGATCATCATCATCATCATCATTCATATGTCTATCGTGTGTCGCTCTTCTATCTCGTGCATGAACATTTCGACCGACACCAAATGCCACTGACTTCGATTTTTGTTATAGTTGTTGCTTTTCGAGCATTTCTCTCTTCACGCTGTATTTTGTTCCTTTTCGTTGAACTTTTCTCGCTTCGTTATTGTTGTTGTTGTTGTTGTTGTCGTCGTCGTTTTTTTTCTCTGCTGTGGCCAATATGAATGTATCTTTCTCTCACTTTGAAGGCGCTCGACATACTCACATAACAACACAGGCAATGTGTTCCCCGTACGCACTACACACATGCACCGCATATGTCTAGCTTTTCGGCGGAATAAAGAATGTGTGTTTTTAATACTTATACAGAGAGAAAATCCAACGAGAAAGAGGAAGAAAACCATAAAGTGAACGAGCACAGCAGCAAGTTGAGCAACTTGTGGCGACGATAACATAGAATTCTGTGAATTTTAAAACGCTGAAAACTTCTCTCGCTCATTCTCTCTCTCTCTCTTTTTCTCTTGATGTCAGACGACAACATACACAGAGAGCGCACACCATCACTAAAAAGATCGCATAGATTGGTTACGTTAACACACATAACATACAGGGATATCGACAAGTTCTCTCTCTCTCTCTGTTCCGTAACACCACTAAATGAATATGATTCATGTCATTGATATGGCAAAACATTTTTTTTTCAAAAATGATCTCTTGAAAAATGCTGATAATGATTGATTGCAACACAATGAACCTAAAAAGTATTCGATTTTACGAATTCCATTGACTCAATCTTCCATGATATGCTCAATCTTCCATCTCAAACTCATCAATCATCGATTATTTTTTTTCGAAATGATTTGCAAAAACGAAACTTCCGTAAAAATGATCGTTTTTTTTTTTTTTCAAAGATCACCCCAAATTTTGCTGATCACAATAAATTCTTGGCTAGAACAGGAATTTCAAATTTGAAAATTTTTACTCGACACACAACCATAATCAATTCACAACTATCATCATTCAATGCGAGATGCAGTGTGTGTGCGCTTCATGAGCCCCCTGTAGATTGAAGCTCTTACAAAAGATGTGAAGAAAAATCGCTGTTTGTCGCCCGTTGTCAGTCAGTGTGATTGTTGCTGTGCTTCGCGTACAAAGTCAAAACCGTACATATTGAATCCGAACATCGCATAAATAAACTGCGTTAATGAATTTTCCTATAATTTATTGTCGGATTCATTCGGAGAGTGTCGTTGTTTTTAACTCAATCCATTTACTTAAATAAAAAAATTAATAAAAATACAAGACGGACAAAAAAGAACCGAAACCGAAATATAATCAAAACAAACGTTTGATAAAAAAGGTAAACAACATTTTCGCTGACGAAATACAGTCGTCAGCTTGAAATCATCTAAAAAAGATAATTGTTGCAATCAGTTGAAAATGTTTGTTGTTATCAGTGAAAATCGCTCAAGTGATTACTCAATTTGTATAAATTGTCTCACACACAGGGTTGAAAAGTGAGTGTGAGTATCATCAGAGAAGAGGGAAAAAGCATTCAATTTTTTTTTTGAATGACTCAATACTTGAAAAAGATAATGAAATGTGAAGAAGCAAAAAATCGTCGGTGCCAAATATTTCACGTGTCCGAGAGATTTTGGTCGAGAGTATGTGCGTGTGTATATATGACAAAGAGCCTTTTCTCGAAAAAAAAAATAACGTATGTAGCGCAACCTAGAGCAAGAGGGAGAGAAAGAGAGAGAGAGAGAGAGAGTCCATAAAAATTGTGCGTGAAGCATTTTTTTTTATCTTTTTGTTTTCCTTTCCGTTTGGTTCAAAATTCGTTCTTCTTTTTTCGGGTCGGTCAATCAAAAGTGAATAATGAAAACAAATGTAATGTAGAAAATATGCTTGAAAAGCAAAGATTTGTGTCGCCTCTCTAGTCTAGTGTGCCCCCAGTCAGGCCATAGCACCAACATATTACATATATATAGCATACGTTCAAGAAATAATTGACCGAACACAAAACATACGGAGGAAAAAATAAAGATGAAAAGTTGATGAAAAAGATTTAAAATGAAGTAGAAAAAATAAAAAGAGTAAAAACAAAGATCAATGCACAAACGCACGAATCGAATGCAGGCAAAGTGCTGTGCTGTACGGTGTGTGTGTGTGTGTGTGCAGTGAATTGTCTTGGTATACAGTGCAACACAAAAAGGAAGCAGCAGTAATACAAAGACGCAACACAAGGCACCGGCGACAAGTAAAAAAATCCAATAGAGTGAGATAGACACTAAAACACACACTTCACGAGAAAAACAAAACCAAAACGACGGGAGCTAAAAGGAAAAAAAAATAACAACAACAACAACAACGCAGCAATAAAAACCGACCGAATGAATCGACCAGATTAAAATGAAAACGAACGAAACAAAAAAGAGCTGAGCTGAACTGAAGCAAGGCAGCCGCAGCAGCGATGGCAGTGCAACAGTGCAGCAACGAAAAATGTACAAGAAGAAAAACGCACAGAACATAGATATTCCGTGTGCGAGTGCACGGCCAAAGTGTAATTTTCTTCGAGTACTTAGCATAGCACAAAACGAATCTAATGAAAACAAGCTCACAACCCGACCAAACGAACGGCCCGACCGACCAAAAACACCATGTATTTTATTGTACGTTGCGCTCACTCGGCTGCCTTGCTCTCTGTCATTCATATGCACTCCACACATTTATGTGTAGGCTTCGAGATTCGATTGTGCCTTTGATTTGCTTTTTTTCTCTCTCGCTTCTTTCAACGTTCTCGTTGTGTATTTGTAGATCGCGTAATATAGCAACAAAACAATACGAATACATTCCATATTTTCATTCGTTCGTTCGTTGGTGCCTTATTTTATTCACTCGTTTGCATTCCGAACAAGACTGCACTTCACATATATATATATATGTACATATATCCGAAAGACAGAAAATGAAATGAAACACGAAATGAAACAGAGAGAAAGAGTGAAGAAAAAAGAAGAAAAACCAGTGCAATTCAATGGTGTTGCTTGTTCTTCTCTCGTTGTTTATTTAGTTCGTTTAGGTTCGATGTTGTTTAGGTTCTTTTTTTTCCTCTCTACATATATTTGTCTTCTATTTCCACTCCATAAGTTGCATGTTTAAAAGCCATAGGAACAGTGCATAATGTCTATACTTTAATTCATATTCTCATTCATGTCACGAATACTGCGGAATATGTTCCGATATCAGGACGGAAAAAACCAACAAACATACCTCTTTTTTTAAAAAAAACCATTTTGAAAATGCATCTATCGTGGTTGCACGCATTCGCCCATTTCCTTTCAATTTTATCGATTGTTGAGATAGAGTTGTGTGTATGCATTGTTGGTCCCTTTTAAACAGCAGTTTTTCACTTTTTTCCACTTCCAAACCGTATGGTTTATTTTGGCTGCCATTTCCAGTCAATTTTAAATGTAGAGAGATATAGAGAAAAAGAGAAAGAGAGAGAAAAAGAGAGACCAAAACTCGATATTTGTTTTTGACTTTGATGGTATTTTTTACGATGAAAAATGGTGTGAAGGTATCAAATCGATCGTAAATTCTCAAGTGTGAATTATCAGATGGAATTTACGATGAATTCTAACCGACTCATTCGAAGATCCACTTCAACATTTTATCAACTTAAACCAAACATCCTACAGTTGTGAATCTAATCGTCTCAAATTGATTTGTACGGCTTTTTTACCAGAAACCCATATGACTCAATGTGGCATTTTTATATCGAATTCCGAAAATTAAAAACACTCATAAAACCATTTTTGCATGTTCTCTCCTCGCATCTATTTTCTGTATGAGTTCAAAGAAAAACATGGATTTCTCCTTATTAAACAACATGTTAGGCAATAATATGTGTATAGTGTGTGCGGAGAGCGAAAACACGACGACCATACGATAACATATGAGAGAAGCTAATATGCGTGAAGCTAAGGAGGCCAAATGATACCTATACCGATACATACACACACGCACATAATTCACGAAAATTGCGATGAGAAGAGCAGCAACAAATAAGACACACTCTTCGATCGAGAGCTGAAACAGAAAGTTCAAGAAAAAAAAAAGGCACAGAAGAAGTGAGCTCATACACACATTGCCATCCATTTGTTGTATAATACATATATGTGACGGAAAGAACGGATCAGTTCGACGAACAGAAAAAAAAGTAGTGTGTGTCATTTCATAAGCGCAAATACACAGGCCAAAAAGAGACAAATAACTTTTTTTTTAAAAATATTATTGGTGGCAAGACGCACAAAATTCAAGTCAAACGAATCGAACGCTGAAAAATAAAACATTTTATACATGTTTAACTCATAAATACACCGAAATCGAATGAAACGACGTATCAAATGAGCTCGCGCGCGCGCGCGCGAGGCCAAGAGTGAAACAAGTTCATACGCGACATCACACACAATTCGCGCACAAAAATATATATACATATGCGTCATGGCTTCTTTCTCTCGCTCGCTCGAGAGTGTTTATCAAACGTTTACAGAAATGGATTGTTTTCGAAACGCGCTTTCGAGCTTGGATTTTTCTATATAAGTGTATATCTGCACATTTATTCCTTGGACATTTTTGTTTGTTGTTTCGTTTTCTTTCGTTCATCCGTGGCTATTGTTATATAGTTACTGTACATTTGTATTGTTTCCATCCACTCTCCAAGTGAAACGAAACAGATAGAGAGAGAGAGAGAGAGAGAGAGAGAGAGAGAGAGAGAGAGAGGGCGAAAAAAAGAAATGGCAAACAAAAACGGCAAAACGTGTGTGCAAATATCGTTTGTACTTCTATGACTTATGCTGTTGCAATGCTTAATCGTTTTTTCTGCTGAAAAAAAAAGAAAGACAAAAAAATGTACTTGTGAGCCGTAGGAAATCCTTAACGATCGACTTGAACGAACTAAGCAACAAATACACAATAAGCAGATAATCAAGCCAAGTGTGTGTTTTGTGTTGCTGTTGTCATCTTTTTGTTCATTATGATTGTTCGTGTCATTCGGTGAAACGAGAATTTCTATGAATTGTCCTTTTTTTCCAAACATAAAACGGCACAGAAGAGAGAGGAAAAAATGCAAAATAAGGCGACAGACCCTCGATGCATGCGTGAGCATGCGTTCGAAAACAAGTTCAAACTGAAAATAATTACACATAATGCGTTGTGTTTCAAGGCAAAAAAAAAAAAATGTACGCACTCATTTATGGCTCTTTGTTCCATTCTGCTCAGTGGTGTGCGCTATGCTGTGCTCTGTGTGCGGAGCGCCCCAAAATGCCAACATAATTTGTATTCATAGGAAATTTGTTTTAGTGAATTTTTATCGATCGCACTACGGAGTGGAGAATAGGGAAAATTTATAGTTTATTGCGATGCATTTTAATTTGAATGGCGTTAGCAAAACACGCAGAGAGCAGCAGCAAGCCGAATATAAAGAGATAGAAGCGGAAAAAAGGGGGAAACATGTCCTCCTATTGAATATTGAAGATGTAATGAAAACGATACTATTCGTTACGACATTAGTTTGAATAAAAGCATTCCACTTGTTCGGCTCTATCTCTCGTTTCCTATTTTGCCTATCGCTTCGTTGGACGCACATTATTCATTCGCTTTCGTTCCATGAACTGCATAAAAACGTCAATACATCATAATTATCTACATTGATGGCGTGGGGTTGATTTGATTTCGCAACATACATACAATGCAAACCGAACAATTCATACACAACGACAATTCATCCGCCGCGGCCGTGCTTCGCTCATGAATAGGAACGTTGTACGCTAAGAGGGGAGCTAAATGTTTCATGTTTACATTTATTCTTTAGTGATTTCCATTGCGAGCTATTTTGCGCGCGCGTTCACTGTATTCATATCGAATTTCATATACATATTAATACTGTGGGGTCTTGGTGTAATGTGTATACTGTATAGTTTTCTTTGCGTTGCTTCTTCTTCTTCTTCTTTTCCATTGTGTAATGAAAAGTTTTGCGAACCTATTTATTTTGCGTAGTGTGATGACGCTGCTACTATAGCAGCAATTGTCACACAAATGGCAATAGCGTAAAGCGCGCACAAGAAAAGCAACAACAACAGCAAACAAACAAAAAATAGAACCTCAGTTGCTTTGGCTTTGAGCCGCACAATACACATTCAAATCGATTAGTTGATTCGAAAAACTCAAAACTAGTACATCGCGAACTGTCGACTGTTGCCAACATAATTTGATAGGAGTTCTCTGTCACTCGTCGCTCATCTGGTTTCCATTTACGTTCTGTTCGAAATTCAGTTATCGTTGTTGTTCGTAATAATTGTGTACAGCGTTGTTATTTTGTGCTTTGTTTTAGTTGTGCCTGCATTTGATTTTTTCCGATTCGTACACACGGCCTTTTGCTCAAGTGTCAGTTACGGTTGTAATTTGTGAGTAGCATTTTTCTTTTCTATTCTTCTTCTTCGTTTCCATTTTTTTTTCTCTCTTCGAGTGTGTGTATATTTTTTCTGTGCTGTTTTGCCATTCAAACGTAAACAACAATGGCAAATATATAATTTTCTAAGTGAACCACATCGTAGTGTATCATTTGCTAAATCGACTTAATTACTTTGCAATTATTTCCTACTGTTTGTGTGTGCGAGAGAGAGAGAGAGCGCGCTCGCCCGCTCGATTGCCATTGCAACACCGAAAAAGCACTGAAAGCCCTCGAAACTCAACTAAATTGTAGTATCGCGGCGATACCATACAAATCTGATATTATTAGTGAAATGTAATCACTTGGACAGAATTGTCTTTTCACAAATAGTTGTAATCAAATCAAAATGAAACCATTTAAATATAATGGACTCTCAACGCAACAGCCAATACAGTGCCAATTGCGAGTGTCGTTTTTGTTCCTCCATGCACAGGGTTAACCACATGCAATTCATACTCGCCCAACAAAAGCTCATTTAATTAATGATTTCACTTTTTATTCGCATTCAGATTTAGAAAAGAATAAATCATTATTTTCCAAATGGTTTCCTAATTTCATGTTCCACTTTTAGAGGCTGAAAATTGAATTATAAATCATAAATTAATGTAAAATATAAGCTTCATTGCAAAATCATGTTTTTTTTTCTGTTGACTGTTTTTTTCCCTCTATTTTTAAACGCATTATTTGTTATTGGCTTGTTTAGTTTGTTTCAATATTCATTTTCTATTACTTGTTGGCGAAAAATGTTGTTATTTCCGCTGGAATCGCGATTTAACACCAAAACAACACAATTCAATCTTTGTCCAAACAGAAAAATATCAGTCGTATTTCGGAGAAAATACGATGAATTTCAAAGGAAACGCATGCTGTTGTCCCATTGATAAAGCATGAAGAATAAAAACAAAATATCAATCGAGTGAGATAATTTGCTTGTTTGTCGTTGTGCGTTGATGAATTTCTTTGGAAATTCCCCACACACGCCATTCAATAAGCATGCTATACTCATAGTTCTAATGTATTTGGTGACATTTCTCGATTAAATAACTCATTTTTTCGAAGAATTTCACAATCAAATGCATTTGAATCATCAACATATCAGTTTTAATGAAAGTGCCTCACAACAATCGACGTACAAGTCAATTATTTTGAAATTGGCACAATTTCTTTGAATAGTTCTCGAAACAAAAAAAAATCTTCTTTATATTATTCTTCTATTCTAACCGTGGTGAAAAAAAAATCAATTTCTAATTTTCAATTTGATTCTCAATTTAGAATATAATTTCATCTTTTGAATTATTTTCAAAGAACACACAGAAGAATTCAATGGAAATAAGCAAAACTAATCGATTCATTCGATTTAAATGAAAACAGAAATCCAATTAAAATACCAGATCAGACAACAACAACAGCGGTTTTTTTCCACTGAAATTTCGTCTATTTGAAGTGTTCAGAAAAGAATTTGATATGAATTCTTTATCGATGACTCACCTAGTGGATGATTATCAAAATAGAGCTAATTTTAGTTGCATTTTTATTGCTTCCTTAGCCAAAACTCGTTAATTTTATCCCATTCCACTCATTTTTCTATCTCACGTTCATTTCATCCGTCTGAGATGAGAAAAAACCACTAATAAAAATTACAAATTTATCGTTTAATAATCCGCAATATTAATGCAATTTCCGCTCTGATCTCATTTCATTTTAGGTGTTGTTTCCAAGAGAATCATAAAATTTAGGACGCAACCATGGAAACCGAAGATGTTGAATCTTCGCACAGTACAATGTCAAGCTTGAATAGCTTATTCTCGTTCACCAGTCCGGCCGTGAAAAAGTTGCTTGGATGGAAACAGGGTGATGAAGAGGAGAAATGGGCCGAAAAGGCTGTTGACAGTTTGGTGAAAAAGTTGAAAAAACGCAAGGGTGCAATTGAAGATTTGGAACGTGCTTTATCATCACCGGGAATGCCGTCGAAATGTGTAACAATCCCTAGATCGCTGGACGGACGATTACAGGTAAGTGAATGCCATCAACATTACATTCAATCACAATGCTCTGTTTCAAACAAACTAATGAAAATGGTTAAATCTTCACGTAGGTCTCACATCGCAAAGGATTACCACACGTTATTTACTGTCGCGTATGGCGTTGGCCCGATTTACAATCTCATCATGAACTAAAACCGATCGAATCTTGCCAGTTTCCATTCAGTGCAAAACAAAAAGAAGTCTGCATCAATCCGTATCATTATAAGCGTGTTGAGAGTCCGGTGTTGCCACCCGTATTGGTGCCACGTCATTCGGAATTTGCACCGGGCCATTCGTTGCTCCCATTTCAACAAGTGAACGAACCGAATATGCCACACAATGTTAGTTATTCCCAAATGTCAAATCAGAATTTCGTGAATCAAAATAGCCCGACGAGTCCGACTATGTCGTCGGTGTCATCAGTGAATTCGAATCCAAACAGTCCATATGGTATTTCATTACCGGAAACACCGCCACCCGCCTATGGCCTATCGGATGATGCAAATTCCAACAATGCTGACCAGCCAATGGACACAACCAATCCGAATCCGGGCCATGTGCAAATCAGCTATCAAGAACCACCGTTTTGGGCATCGATTGCCTACTATGAACTCAATTGCCGCGTTGGCGAAGCGTTCCGTTGCAATTCACTGTCGGTAATCATTGACGGTTTTACAAATCCCTCAAACAATTCCGATCGCTTTTGCTTGGGCCAATTGAGTAATGTGAATCGCAACAGTACAATTGAGAATACACGTCGTCACATTGGCAAGGGAGCGCACGTGTATTTCGTGCGCGGTGAAGTGTTTGTCGAATGTCTGTCGGATTCAGCGATTTTCGTACAGAGTCGCATGTGCAATCATCATCACAATTTCCATTCAAGCACCGTGTGCAAAATTCCACCCGGTTGCTCGCTGAAAATCTTCAACAATTCGGAATTTGCAACGTTGCTATCGCAGGCCGTTAATCATGGCTACGAATCGGTGTTTGAGCTCACCAAAATGTGCACGATTCGTATGAGTTTTGTAAAGGGTTGGGGTGCCGAATATCATCGACAGGATGTTACTTCAACACCTTGCTGGGTGGAGATTCATCTGCACGGACCGTTGCAATGGCTCGACAAAGTTCTCACACAAATGGACTCACCGATCAATGCAATCAGCTCGGTGTCCTAAGGAAAAACACACATACATCTCACGCTCCAACCCACCACCAGCGGCGTTAATAATATTCGATTGAGAGAGAGAATTAGCAGTTAATTAAATATAGACATGTAAGAGTGTTTCGACGTTGGTTAAACAATGTCTACGCGCGTCTCTACGTAAATACGAATTGTTTGTTGTATACAACAACAACACGCACTTATTTGATTTTTGGCATTCGACAAATGTGTAGAATTTTTTGTTGTTGTTATTGTTGAAAGAAAGTGGACCAACAATCACACTATATAAAAAAGAGTCCACACTTAGAATCTTACAATGGATTTGCAAGAAACGAAAAAACCCGAATGAAAAAAAAAAAAAAATTGTGAATGTCTTACCTAGTTTTAAGAGCATGTATTTTGTGTACTGAACATGAATGAAAAGAAGAGGAAAAAATTAAGGAATAATTTAAAAAATATGTTTGGCTCTCGTACGTTAGGTATTTGCATATGTTTTGCTTGCACAAATTCAAATTTTATACAAAAAAAAAATAGTTTATATTTTTTTTTCGTTTAAAAAAATTTATTTCGTCTCTCCGACGATTTATATTCGGTAGCTAAATTTTATTTGCGAACTTCGGCAGGAGACTTCATTTTTTTTTCTCGATGAGTTCAACAATATTTTTTTTTTTTTCAAATTATTTTTGTGAATTGGTTTTTGAAATCCGTTGACTAATTTAGCAATTTATTTTATCTAAATGATACCAATTAGCCCAAGAGCCTAAACAAATGGAAGAACATTGGGCACACCTGGTTTTATTTTAAGGAAATTTGAGATTAAAAACAGACGAAAAAAAATGAAAAGAAAAAATGGATTTTTTTCTTCGATAAAACAAAAAAAAAAGGCAGAGATATAGAGATATTTAGTCAAAGATGCACCACCCAATGTATACAAAACGATCTCGGCAAAGCAAACTCATTAAATAATCATATAACGAATAGGAGAAGAAAACAAAAACAAAAACCATCTCAAGTTGATGTGCGCCATATTAAATGAAATTTGTCTGTTTAATTCGTTTCTTCAAAGAAAAATGATACTATATCTATAAAATAAATAATAATCTAAAGATGACGAGAGAAAGAGAGAAAAATTGAAAAATATTAACATTAGAAATTGTGCCGATTACATTTACAATTGAAGTGTCTGTTGAAAATTGTAGCTTTGTTTTTTTTTCCGCTATGGAAATGAATAAATTTTCTATATTTTACGCTAAGAAGACAAAACACACACACACCTACACTAATACAATATATAAATGAACAATTAGACAGATACACACACACACACACTACAGCCAGATTGAGAAAAAAAAACGATAATATAAAATGAAAAGAGGCCTCACTCAAAAGTGTACTTTAACTTTGATATTATAAACAAATTGCCTTGCGCTACTGCTTTGTTGTCTTTTACTAGTGTTTAGTGGCCTTCACAGAACAGAAACTTAGTATTTTGAATAAAAACGAACAAAAGTGGTCTTATCTTACTCCAAAAAAAAAAAATTGAAGAAAAAATGAAATACGCCTATAAAATAAACAAGTCTATAGTTTTTTTTAGCCATTCAATTTGCTTCAGTATCGCCTTATAACACACATTGCTGGAACAGTCAATACCAATTATAATTATAATGACAAGATTTTTCTTTGTTAAAAAAAAACAAATAGCTGAAATGTCAAACAAATTTCAATCTTTTAAATTATAAATATTTTTTTTTGCTACCCAAGTGCAGATTTTCTAGACCATTTTCCAGGAATTAACAAAAAATAATAAAGAATTACATTTATTGAACTTTTTTTTTTTCTTGTTCGGCAACACTTTGATGACATAGATACATTTAAAAGATACGCATTAGAATAAATCGCATATTTGCTTCCGCTTGACGTGTTCTAGATTGTAGTGCATTTTCCCAAAATTCAGTGTGTGGCTTATTTAATATATTTGTGGACAAAATGTAATATTTGTTCGATTTAGATTCAGAATTAATGTGAATGCAACGTTTTCTTTTGTCGTTTGGTTCGGAGTAATAAGCATAAAAAAAAGAACCCTCTTTTATTGTAAAGAAATAATTTAAACTCTTCTTCTTTTCGATATACTATAAAATAATATAGGGATTTTTTTTGGCCATAAGAACCATTTTCTAGTTGAATGAAATCTGACATAAAATTCTCGTGCTGTTTGAGCTCAACATTCAAACAGATCCAATCTTTCTTTTTTTTTCCTCTTTTCGAATAAAAAGTCAAATAAATCACAAAAAGTGTAAAGTCTGAAAATTCGGTGCTTTATTTTCCTTGTATATTTTCTTTGGCAAAGTTTCAATTTAATTTCTGTAATAAACCGTGGCAATATTCCATGTCAAAATCACATCATCATTGAAATGTGAAAAGCAACAGCATTTCAAATAAGAATCATTCACTGTGGAATGGATGCGTTCAATGCTCAGTCTGCTAAGGAATATGCCAAAATAACTGTCAGTTGAATGGTGTGTGGTGACAGCTCAACACTATTAATATTGTTGTAAGTGCCGACAATACACGTTTTTCTCTGCTCATATTTCATCATCTCATTGCAGTGAATGAACCGTAAGTACAGCTTGCAATCTGTTTTGTTTACCGAAAGCAACGTGATAACATCGGCATCACAAAAAACGTGGACTTATAATAATTGCACAATTTTTAAATTTATCCAAATCGATTTAGGATTGAAAACTAAAAAGTAGGTTATAAACATACATGTAACAATGGCACCAAGCCCGGTTGAAGCGAATGTGCAAAGCGGTGTTGCAAAATTGAGCACAGAGAAAGGCTCATTTGATGAAGAATTGTATCGTGTTCCAGAGACGATCAGTTTTCCCGACGAAGAAGAGAAGACATTGAAATTCTGGGGCGATAACAAGGTGTTTGAAAAATGTCTGCAGCAATCGAAAGGAAAACCAAAGTAAGAACCATTTATTTGATACCATAGAGAGTGTGCATTGTGTGTAGTAAGGGTATCTTGAAATGAGCCTATGCAAATGCACATGGTTACATTTTCTGATGAAATCTTTGTGTCGTATTGCAAAAAAGCAATCGTCATAAGATTTCACTGCATGAACGATAACATCAATTGGCTCAACTAGCAATACCAAACAATGATTCATATTTCATCGAAATGACGTTGACAATTTTTGCCCGTTTTGATAACGGTTTCATGTTTCCACAGAAATTACGGGTCGTGATCTTTTTAAAATACTGATTTTTTTGTTCGTTTTTCTTCTCTGAATTGTAGCTACACTTTCTACGATGGACCGCCTTTCGCTACGGGATTACCTCATTATGGTCACATTTTGGCCGGAACAATCAAAGATGTAGTAACACGTTATGCACACCAACAAGGCTATCATGTTGAGCGTCGCTTCGGTTGGGATTGTCATGGTCTACCTGTCGAATATGAAATCGATAAAACACTCAACATCCGCGGGCCGGAAGATGTTGCCAAAATGGGCATTGCCGCGTACAACAACGAGTGCCGAAAAATTGTCATGCGTTACGCCAACGAATGGGAACAGATTGTGAATCGAATGGGGCGATGGATTGGTATGTTTAAACTTCTCTTTTCTCTACATTTTTGAATGCTTGTTGCTGTTGTACATTTTCGAATTGAAAAACGAAACAAGCTAATCAAATCAATTCTCTCAACGTTCCTTATGAAAATTCAAAATTAGCCAATCAATTGATAATAATTAATGATTTTCATAAAAACTTCAGATTTTCGTAACGATTACAAAACGCTGTATCCATGGTTTATGGAGTCCATTTGGTGGGTATTCCGTCAGCTGTTCGCCAAAGGTTTAGTGTACCAAGGAGTGAAAGTGATGCCGTATTCAACTGCCTGTACCACTGCTCTGTCAAACTTCGAAAGTGGTCAAAACTACAAAGAAGTCGTTGATCCATTCGTTGTTGTTGGCTTTCCATTGCTAGGACCTCAGTTCAAAGGTGTACAAATGTTGGCTTGGACAACCACTCCATGGACATTGCCATCGAATTTATCGCTTTGTGTCAACCCCGAAATGGTGTATCTTCACATTAAAGAAACGGCAACCGGTGCCGAATACATTCTATCCGAATCGCGAATTGAGAGTGTATTCAAAGATGCTGGCAAATACGAAATCGTAGAAAAATTCAATGGTAAAAAGCTTGACGGATTAAAATACGAACCATTATTCGATTACTTTACTGCATATTCAAAGAAAATGAATGCTCATCGTGTGTTGTGTGATGGATACGTCACAGAAGATTCCGGTACTGGTGTCGTTCATCAAGCGCCATATTTCGGTGAAGACGATTATCGTGTTTGCTTGGTAAATGGCATCATTCAAAAAGACAGCGAAATCATTTGTCCCGTCGATGAATCCGGCCGTTTTGTCGACCCAGTGTCACACTTCCTGGGCCAATACGTTAAGGATGCCGATAAAAATATCATTGCTCATTTGAAAGCCAACGGTCGTTTGATTCAAAGTGGCCAAGTTAAGCATTCGTATCCATACTGCTGGCGTTCAGACACACCACTCATCTACAAGGCCGTTCCATCGTGGTTCATTCGCGTCGAGCAAATGTCACAGCAACTGTTGCAATGCTCATCGCAAACGTATTGGGTGCCCGATTTTGTTAAAGAGAAACGATTCGGCAACTGGTTGCGCGACGCACGTGATTGGGCCGTGTCCCGTAATCGGTACTGGGGCACACCAATTCCGATTTGGATGTCACCCGATGGCGAAGAAATCGTATGCATCGGAAGCATTGCCGAGTTGCAACAGTACACTAAAACTTCAATTACTGACTTGCATCGTGAATCAATCGATGACATTGTTATTCCGTCAAAACGACCGGGCCAACCGCCTCTTCGTCGTATTCCACAGGTGTTTGACTGTTGGTTCGAATCGGGTTCTATGCCTTTCGCACAGCAACACTATCCATTCGAAAATGAGCAGGAATTCAAAAATTGCTTTCCAGCCGACTTCATCGCTGAAGGTATCGATCAGACACGTGGTTGGTTCTACACATTGCTTGTTATTTCAACGGCTCTCTTCAATACGGCGCCATTCAAAAATCTAATTGCCAACGGTTTGGTATTGGCTGCTGATGGCCAAAAGATGTCGAAACGCAAGAAGAACTACCCCGATCCATTGGAGGTGGTGAACAAATATGGTGCCGATGCTCTTCGTTTGTATCTCATCAATTCGCCAGTTGTACGAGCCGAGAATTTGCGCTTCAAAGAGGAAGGTGTACGTGATATTATCAAAGATGTCTTTTTGCCCTGGTATAACGCGTATCGATTCTTATTCCAAAATATTTACCGCTATGTAAAAGATGAATCAACTGCCAATAATCAGTTCCAATTTGATTCAACGGTCGTTGCCGGCGCCACCAATATAATGGACGTTTGGATTCGTTCGTTTAAAGAGTCACTTGTTGAGTTTGTTGCAAAGGAAATGAAAGCATATCGATTGTACACAGTTGTGCCACGTCTCACCAAATTCATCGACCACCTCACCAACTGGTATGTTCGTTTGAATCGTCGCCGTATCAAGGGAGAAGATGGTCTTAAGGATTGTGTTGCATCGTTGAATGTTTTGTTTGATGTTCTGGATACAATGGTTAAAATGATGGCTCCATTCACACCATACCTTTCGGTAAGTAATATTAGTAATTAGTTTGCTTTTCGAAGAATCGTTATCGTTCATTTTGTTTGCTCCATTCATGTTTCATCATTTGCAATCAATAATTAACTCAATCACCGTTTATCGTTCGTATAATTAGGAATTCATGTACCAACGATTGTCGCGATTGAATACACCCAATGAAGTGTCGCCAAAAATACCATCGTCACCGATCAGCGGTGGCGGCAAAGGAAAGAAGAACTCTGTGGCAAAGACTGCATCGTTCGATGGCAGTGTGCATTTGGAAATGATGCCCAAACCAAATCGCGCCTACATCCAGACAACTGTTGAAACGGCTGTGAGTCGCATGCAAAATGTCATTGAATTGGGTCGAGTTTTGCGTGATCGCAAGACAATGCCAATCAAATATCCCGTTCCAAGTGTGATTGTAATCCACAAGAATGAGCAGTATCTCAAGGATATCCAAGCGCTCGAATCATTCGTTTTGGGTGAGCTAAATGCACGTCAATTGATCACATGCGCCGATAAAACACGGTATGGCGTCAAACTGCGCGCCGAACCCGATCACAAAACATTGGGTTTGCGATTGAAGGGTGATTTTAAAGCGGTTATGGCTGCCATCAAGCAATTGACCGATGATCAAATCCAAGCCAACCTTGACAAAGGCTATTTCGAAATATTAAAACATCGCATCGAATTGGAAGAAGTGCGCATCATCTATGCAATGGACGAAAATACAGACTCGAAATATGAAGCACATAGCGACAATGATGTTTTGGTATTGATGGATTTAACACCGACCGAAGAATTACTCTTTGAAGGTGTTGCTCGTGAAATCATCAATCGTATTCAAAAGCTTAAGAAAAAATCACAATTGATTCCAACTGACCCGGTTATTATTTACTACGAAATATCCGATACAAATAGCGATTTGAGTAAAGTGGCCAAATCACATCAAGAGTTCATCGAAGGTGTCATTAAATCACCGTTTTTGCCACTTGATGCGGTCAAAATAGCCAGTGAAGCCTCAACACGTAGTTTCGTTCATGAGGAATGTGATGTTAAGGGAGTCACATTCAAAATCACCATTAGCATGGAAAAGAAAGTGGCCAACGCTGCTGCTGCAGCCGTCGCTGCCACTGCTATGAAATCAACTGCTGGCCCAGCAATAAAACCTGTAGCACGTTGGTTGAACGTCGTCACGAAAATTCAACCGCGTTACTGCTCAACCAGTGCAACTAACCTTGGCACAGTTCTCATTGATGATCCCAATAAAAAGCCATTAACTCTCCATCAACTACGAAACGAAATCGAGCAATTATTTGGGCTGTATCACATGAATTTGTTCTTTGCATGCAACGGAAAGCCGCTTGATTTATCGTCCACGATTGATACAGCCGAAAAACTTAACGGTGAAACGGTGTTCGTGTCAAGCCAACCTGGATACATCGAAACAGATAAGAAACTATTAGCCATGGCTAAAGTACCATTTGTGAAATTTTCCAACGTTACAATTGACGGTTTGCCAAGAACGCTATTACTGGAAAATCCAAAAGGTGAACTGTTATAGAGGTGAGAATGTTAATGTGTTTAAATAAAATTCTTTAACGAGAAAAAAAATATTTAAATCGAAAGAAGAAGGAAAAAAAAAAAACGAATGAAATTTCAACTATTCTTAAAACAATTACACACACTTAAATCCTCAAAAAATGCTATTCAAAATTAGATTGATTGTTTTTTATTTCTGTCTGAAAAATACTTTTTCATAAAAAAAATTGATATTGTTCGAAAATGTCATGCACATTTCGAACACCCATAAAATATATCAAAACATTTCTGTATTTGGCAATAAAATTGCGCCTGTTTTCAATAAAATATCGATTTTGAGCAATAAAAACCTGAAAGCATCGTATTTCTGTGCATTATACTATTCCCTGCCATACAGCCATTACCATCATCATTCCTGTGGTTTATTCGAGAGAAAAGTTGTCGTTGTTTGCAGAAAATGTGTGAATTATTCCCGTGGAATTCAGTTCACATTGCGAGTGGGTAAGCATTGTCCTTGAATCGAATCGCCGTGTTTCCGCATATAAATCACCCAGGAGAATGTGTGTGTGTGTGAGTGTGTGAATGTGTATGTGCTTTGGTTCGGGTTCTGCGTTTCGAATGCGGAAATGAATGTCTGCATCGCGATTCGCTTCTGTATTCGATTTGATATATTGTGGCGATGTGATTTATTCACGGGGCAAAAGAAGGTAAAACAAAATAATTCATCCAACTACAAATCGAAATTGTACACATTACGACCAAGTAACGGATAAAGGAACGATGAAAAAAGAGTGACTCATTCGAAGAGCGGCTGGTATTTTGGCTGTGCAGCACTGAGCATATAACTCACTCGATGAAACATACTAAAAATCGATTATAGACCATTCGGAACATGCGCATTAAATACAAGTGTTTTTTTTTTCCTTCTTCTGTTGCCATTCAGAACAGTTTACATATGATTATTATGAAAGAGCCTGATGAGAATGCATAATGTTCCGTTCGGCAGATAGAATGCAATGCAACTCAATGCGTGTGTGATGAGAGAATCCATGACCGAACCGAAGAGACGGAACGAATGAACGAACGAACAAATGGAATGGCATGAAGAATGAGGGAGAAAGAGGATCATTGGTGCTGAAAACAAGTTCATTCATGCATCCAACATAGCCAAACATATATGCAGTGCGCAACGATGACGGCGAGACTCATGCAACACGGACGAACTCAAAATCGTTAGCCATGCGAAATGATTTGTGACCACGAACGAGAGATTTATTTCGCCTCTTGCATTACGCCAATAGAATAAAGAACAACTAACAGCAAATGCCCGTGTTTATCGCATGTTGATGAATAAAAAAATGAAAAAAAAAAGCAGCAGCAGCAGCAGCAGAAAGAAAGCGATGTGAGTGCATTGGTTGAGAGCGTAATTATGAGGAAAGCCAACAATTAACATCATCATCGAGGCAACGAAGCGAATTGATACTTTATTATATCATATTGCGGCATTTTTTGTTCATTGATTTGACACGCATTTGCGATGTGTGTATTCATTTGGAATTACATGCAAAGTACCGCACGTATTTCAATTAGATTGTAACAAATATACGGAGGTACGGTGTTTTGACAAGAACGAGAATATGCCGAAAGCAAATCAACTAATTATTATTTAATCCGATAGCAGAGATTTTGCTTGGCCGAGGGCGGTGTGTGTGTGTGTATAGTATGTGCGATGAGCGAGTTTTCATTAAAATTTATAGATTTTGCACACATTGTGAACAAAACTGATGGTGGTGACTTGCGAACATTTGCCAAATGTCTATGATTCTAAATTTAATCACAAATCGGGTTCGGTTGTGTGTACACTGTACACCGTACATATTGTTGTTGTATCCTATCACGCAGACAAGAGCAAAGCCGATCAAATAATTGTGTCCTATATTCTTGTTTGTACGACCGTCCTCTCGGTTATCCGTACACAACAGAAACACTTGTTCCGTTAGCTCTCGAGCTGTGTGGTTTTGCAGGCCGAGAGAGAGAGAGAGAAAGAGAGAGAGAGGTAAGTGTGTATGCACACCATGAACTGAGGTTTCGCATAACAAGATTGTGTTTGCATATGATGAAAAAAGCGCGCCAGCGATAGCACACAAGAGACAGATTGTGGTGCACACACAAAGAGAGAGTGAGGGAGAAAATGAATCAAACGAACGAAAACCATAGCAAAGAGAATTGTAAACGACTGTAATTTGGTTTAAAGTATATCAGCAAAGCATCAATATGGTTTTTTTCTTTCGTTTTTTTTGCTGAAGCAGCAAAAGACTTCGTCTGTTCTTGATCTAACGCACACCAACAAATGGTTTCTCCGAATTTCGGTTTACAGCGTCGTTACAGCAAACTATGTTGCTCGGCCACCGATCTGAAATTCGGTTCACAATCGGTGGAATATAAAACAAAAACATTTTTATTATCAAAATAAAGCGAAACAAGTAGGTGAATCTCGCTTTTATTCCCTACATTCAAGTGCGATACACTTCAGCTGGTTTAGACACACAGCCACACATCAGTCACACGCACACAAGTGAAGGATGAAACGAAAAGAAAAACATTACTTTATAGATAATGCGCATGAATTTTATTCATGAACAACGTCCATTTAGTACACACACAGCAGGAACTGCGCTTAATACACAGTATACTTTTCCTTCACATCGGGTCGTTCATATCCTCTTGACGATTTTTATCGATATACGTGGAAACATTTACACAAAACTATCCGCCGAATAATTTAGGGGCTAAATTCAACAACACGTAATGAGAATGTGGTGCTGAGAGAGCACACACCATAATTCCGTTGTGGATTTTTTTTGTTTTGTTCGATTGTTGTTGTTGTTCTCCGTCAGAACTGTGTGTTGTGCTCCTTATGTTTCATCCACATTTTGCGTGTCGTTCTATGGCGACACACTGCTTGCCTGTGTATTGGTGGAACACAACGGCACCGATGACGACGGAGCGCACGTACCAAAAGGTATAATATACCAACAACAATATGGTCGATGCTGTAACGCGTTCGTGCAATTTTTCCATCGCATTTCAGTGTGTTCAAAGTCACTCAGTCGAACGGTTGGTTTCAGCGTATTTTTTTTTTCATTGCTGAGCAACCACCAAAAATCCAATTTTTTTTCTGCGAAGTGAACAGCATTTTTTCATCACTTGATGAAGAGAAAAATGCTATAGTTTTAAGCACGATACGAACGACAAGAGTTATTCGAACTGTGGAAATATTTTTACAAAGTGATTGAATCAGAATTTCACCTGATTTTATGTTCTAAACAATGCGATTAATCGGAATCAAAGTTAATCGGAAGTATTGATTTGTATGTGTGTGTGTGTGTGTTGAATCGAATCGATTAGAGTGAGAAGTTTTCGCGGGAAATTTTCGTCGACAGAAAATAAAACCGAAACGCGAAATTTCAGACAGACTTTTGGAGATAGTTTATCGATGCCATTGGCAGAATCGACAATTGCTTAAGCTAGAGCACAATTGAAAATCAACGTGTCCACAACAGACCAATTTAGCCACATTTTGACGTTTGAAGAGAGTTTGCACACAAAAAATGGCAGAGGTAAGAATCGATTTTTGAATACATACTGATTTTCATTTTCCCCCTTCTAAGCAAAAAAAAAAAAAGAGAGACAAAAACAACATATTACGCTTCTTTTTTTATTGTACATGGTTTTTCCACATATTGGAATCAAGCGATTAGCGTGCGAGTCATTTTCCATTGAAATATTAATTCACGAATGGACTCACATATGCGACTGTTACCGTTTCATAGACATTTTCGTTGCAATAACATTCATTACATAATTTAGTTTGATTCCGTTCAATGGTCTCTCGCACTCTGTATCCATTTCGATAGAAAGAGAAAAAAAAAAAGAAGAAACCGTGAACCATTTTTCATTTACGGCAACAGTCGATCGATTGCAAAAAGTTTCAATAGGAAAAGCCAATCGAAAATCGAATTTCAATTGAATATTTCCTGATGTGTTGATATATTTGAATTGGGTACGTTGTCGCGCTGTTTCGCTGTCTTTTGGCATCGGGCTTATCGCAACATTTGATTAGATAATGACACGCTCTCACATATAAATACGATAATTTTATTGACCTGTACCACTTATCTCTCGTCAGTTACTTCGCACGCAAAAAAATAGCGCGTAAATCAGTCTGAACTATTTTTTTTTTAACTCATTCTCTCTTGCTCTTCTTCTTTCCCATCAAAATAGATGAAAGTTTTTGCCTAATCTTTATTCGCATATGGAACAAACAATTTCTTGCTCAACTTTTGACAGTTCTTTTTTAGTGCAAAAAAGTTGTAGTTTAAGAGATTTTCCCTTTTATACCAATTTGTTGATAGCATTTTTGGTTCGTTTCTTCAGGGGGTAAGTTTAAAATTAGATCTGCAGTTTTCGGTTTGATCTCTTGTGGCTGACATTTTTTTCGACTTGTCAAATCAATTTAGTACATTTTTATTTCACCAGACAGTTTGTTTGTTTGTTTTTTTTTTTTGTGCCAATGGTTTTTTTTAATCACTTCTGTTGTCAGATTAACGTTGTACAGTTGTTTTATTGCCGTTTTTGCTAAGCACACAATCATCGATTTTTTTCACACATTCTCGACGTCATTCGTAGTCGATGCACACAGGTCATTTCCACTTTACATCTTGATAACGAAGTCTTTGTTCTTTATTGAATCTCATTTTCATCATTCGAGCAAAACAAACAAGATTAAATGTTACAAAATCATACAATAAATCCAAATATTGTCGCTTCTGTTCCCATAAAAATTCCCAAAAACGTACAAACATTTCAATAAACTACTCCAATTTTTTTTTGGCGAGAAGCAATAAACAACGTCCACTAAGCGTGAATTGATTACGGCCATTATGGAGATATGCAATTAGATTTTCTCACGTCAAGTGAAAGTAGTTTCTTGATAAACGAGAACATATATTTGATTTATCTGTATGGGCAAACAAGGTAAAGTTCGGGTCAATTGCCTTGTTGTAAGTTTAAAAATAGTTTGTTTGTGCCATGTTTAAGCTCTCTGCCACTGAACTCCATTCCAAACATTTTGTTGGACGAACAGAAAAAAAAAACTGATTTCCTTTTGCTTTTATTGGTCATAATCGTTTCACCGGCATAAGCATATGTGTATGCGTTTTGTTCAAACAAATGAAGACTCAAACGGCAGTGGCTCAGGTGTCGTTGAGCCAATGGTTTTTGTTTGAATGCCACCGCGGTAAGAAGAACATGCAATAGACACCATCGCCATTCAGCTAAATGGCCATACAGAAGCACTACAACATAACAAATGGGAAAAGAGAATCGTCGGAAGGGAAAATAGAAAACAGAGCAGAAACTTAGACCAACGAACAAAAAACCATCATACAAAAAATGGTGTACGAAAAAAGCGGTGTTCATTCACGATACTTGTGCATGGCAGCAGCAACAAAAAAGGCAGCTCAGCTAACATGCATAAGCTTCCATGCAAATAACATTGCGATGGGCTCCTCGGTGTTGTTGTTGTTTTTTTTCTTCATATAAAGTCGCGCCGCGCCGTCTTTCTGTGTGTACTTTATCGTGTTTCGATAGACAACATACAGACCGGCACCATTTCAGTCGTGTACTTTTTTTTGTTGTTATTGTTATTCGCTCGTTGTTGCTGCTGCTGCTTGTGGAACGCGTAGTTTTTATTTCATTTTGGTGGTGTATTGAATTCAAAACCGACACACACTCAATCATCGATCAGTTGCGTTCTGGCCAACAACAAAGACACACGAACAACTGCGAGCTCGTTCTCTGCTCGTTTTTATTCCAAAACGTCGTCATAAAAACAACTCATTTGCATTCTGTTTCTCACAGTCATTTTCAAGACAACAAATCGGGAAGTTTTAATTTACATAGTGCCGAACATAAAAGTGAAGAAACGAAACAACAAAACAAACTAAATCGGATTATTGTTCGAATTCAACGCTATAATATTTGGGCGAAATGAATTGAAATGTGTGAAATTACGTGTAAATATCAATGTTTTCGTTCTTTTGTTTTTGAAACGTAGATTTTTCACTTGCGCACCGCACGTACACATTAAACATATGCTAAAAAAAACAACGTCGTTTCTTTTCTGTGGTGTATCGGGAAGGGAAGTATACAAAGACCGATTTTCGGCTAGTTTACACATCGCGTTTTGTTACGTTTTGTACGCTCATTCGCACCGATAGTCAGTTTATTGAATACGCTTTTGCTTATGACATATCGGTGAATAGACGAACAAATAGGAAAAAAAATTATTTGAAATCGAAAGCGAAACCATTTGCTTGTGAAGAGAGAGAGAGAAAAAAACCTTAGAGAAGATTTCGTCAATGAAACTGTTTTTTTTTCTTTCGTGTTGGTGTGAATGAGCATGTTCCTTCTTTGATCGTTGTTGTTGTTGATCATGTTGAAAATAGCACATAATACGAAGTAGGTCTATTGCATTCGTACTTCATTTTTCTAACCAAAAGTACAAACACTCAAGACACTTGTGTTTCAAATGAACAAAGTGATAATTTGTCAACGACAAAGTGTGAAATCATCAAGAAAAAAATAATGTACGTATGTAAAAGCGTTGAAAATATTCCAAAAATTCGAATGGACTGTGTTTGCTTTGCCGTTCTACTCCCTTCACACGAGTCATCATTTTGTCTGCAGGAAAAAAAAAAACAGAAACTAATTTCATGTCATTTTTTAATATTATCCAAATGATGTCATGTTCTGTGATTGTGTAATGCAATAAGCGCTTCTTTTGTTTGTGTCATCCGTTAATTTAACAAAGTAATTGAATGTAGAATGACTTTCGAGTTAATTTAATTCTCGTGTTCTTTTTTTCTCATTCTTCACCCGCGGCATTGTAGGAACTGAAGCAAACGAAAATTCCACGAATTGGAAGTGGTGCATCGTCATCGATCCTAACACGAATCCCAAAGCCGAGTTGCTTTGCTCGACCAACCACAACGACGACAACATCATCGGCGTCAACAACGTTAGGCATATCAAAGTTGAGCCGACCACAAGTGAATGGCATTGCATCAAAGACAAAAACCGAACTGAATCCAGTCAACGAAGAATCGAATGCGTATCCACGGAAATCGTTCGTTCGTCGTTTTGGTGTGGCAAATAAACTGCAAATCAAATCAATGCCACGATTAATCAATAAGAATCCATTGAAACCGTCACAGCTCGTGGCAAATCAAGTGTCTTCGCAGCACGATCTACGTCGAATAAATGAAACGATGGAACTTACGAATGGCGCCGCAATGAATGTGACCAAACCAGTTATCGATGCAAAGAATGGTGTCACTGATGATACTATGGATCGTGGTCTAATTCGATCAAATACATTCGTTTGTGATGCACCATCGTCGAATGACACAATTACTCAAACGACAAATACAGTACAGCAGCTGAATAAAGAGCGTACGTCAAAACGTAGTTTATCACCCATTCCCGGCGAACCAATGAATGCAGCCAAACGAAAATTAATGCAAGTATCGACAGATAGTCAAAATATTATGTCAGCCAATCTAATGCCACTGAACTCGACGCCACGTCGAAGTATCTCCTATGCGGATGCACGAAAGGCCAATTTAGCATTCTTCGGCGATGCAAAAAGTGTTGATTTTAACGAACCACAAGCAGACCAACTGCAAACGTTTACATTTGATAACGCAACATTCGAACAAAGCAACCATTTTACACCGGATGCCGCTAAATTAGGTAGTGCATCGAGTGCAACGATGCAAGGCAATCGCGTGTTCGATCTAACGCAAACTGTTCAACAGAATGATACATTCTATCCAGAGAATGGCAATGCAACACTAACACTGGACGTTAATGCAGCGGAACATGAGCTGCTTAAAACTGGAGATGTAACTAAAGTTTTTAGCGCTAACGATGCCGATGCAAATCTAACAAAAACTCTCATTGGTGAGTGTGTGTGTGTTTGTTTGTGTTAACTGTGCCTCATTTATTTTACTCTATTTGTATGAGCTTTTTTCTGTTTACTTTTATTATGCAATTGAGAAAAAAAAAACGATGAATGAATATATGCATGTACGTGAAAGAAACATTCAAATGAAATAACTGGAAATAATGTTGTTTACTTTTTTTTTGCAGTGGAAAAAACGCAGCCAATCCAAATCATTAGCTCTGGTCCGATGAGTGAGGATGATTTATTGGTGGCTAAAAAGCGTTTTTCACTCGGGTTGGAGCTGCCTGAATGCACACTGGACTGCTCAATCGAATTGTGTGATTCATCGGCAGCGACGTCTGTGCAGGACAGTTCACCATTAGTCAACTACAATCCACACTCATACGACATGGATGAGAGTTTGGGCATTTTGACACCCGATCAAATGATTGAATTTTTGGACACAAATGCGACGAATGCCAAAATTGAGCTACCAACCAGTTTACCGGTGAAAATTGGTCCGCATAAGTGTCGAATTGATCAGACACCGTCACCAGAGGATTTGCCATTGGATCCGATTGAAGTGAAGACACTTGATTCATCGAAAATCGAGGATGCCGATGCAACACTTCAAACGTTGTCAATTTGTGACCATGACGGTGGTCCATCGCAAAGTGATTCATATTCAAAAACTGACCAACTAACTAAATCAACTACCTCAAAAGCGACCACAAACAGTTTCATTACAAGTGTGACCAGCATTGCAAGTCTAGACAATGGATACCATGCTGATGGTGAAATGTCTCGGCCGGCGAGTCGTGGAGCTGAATCACCAATGCGACGTGTACACAATGCCCGGCAAAACAAATTGTATGCTCATGATGCAAATGTTCCGGTCATTCGACGCCAAGATCCCATGACCGACTCCGATTTCTTCACTGAAAGCGATGCAGATGACATTCTGCAGCGTGGTGGCGATCGTCGTGTTCAAATTATTGACGGTCACATGTATAATGCTCAAGGAGCCGATGTTTTTATTGACGAAGCTCCCGCCGAAAATGACATGGAATCAAGCGGCGTTTACACCGATGTCGAACCATCAAATTCGAATTTACGAAATGAAAACGAAAACGAAAGTGATATGTCACCCGACGGCTCAACTGATACGATCAAAAGTTCAGAATATGCAAATGAAAGCAATAAAACGATGCCAAAAACTGATTCCGACAATACGAAGCAAGCACAAAAACCATGGACTGCGCTACCAACACAATCAAATCAATCGATCGCCGCAATGTCGAACAGCTCGTCGACAACAATTAACGACAGCGTCGCGACTTGTTTGTGTGAGAAACCGAACAGCGCCGATGGTGTGTGCGGTGGAGGGGAAACAGCTCAGCTGGTTACTATCAGTGATGCGACGTCAAATAGCAATGAAAAAACATCATGTAAACATCATTCGATCGCACGCTCCGCTGACAATGACAATAGCAAAGCACAGGCTGCACCTCAATTTAAATCAAGTACACCAAAAGTGAAACGGTTCAGTCCAAATCGGAAACAAAGTAAAAATGACACTGGTTCGGGTCATAGCAAACGAAACGAGTCGGGCGTGAAACGTGATCAAAAATCAAACGGTATAAGAAATCGTTCAAGTGTTATTGTGAATAATAGTAAGAAATCGACGACAACGTCATTGTCGCCATCCGGTTCGAAATCGCCAATCGGAAATGTTAGCCGAAATGGTGAAAACTCCACGACCATAAATAATATGACCAGTGATCATCATCAGCAATCGCCAACTGGATTGGTCGCACGCAAAACGGCCACCAACAAATGGGATGCGGTCATGAATAAAATTGCATTGAATAAGACCGAAGTGAAAACGGTGAACTATAGTGATGTGAAATCAAAAGTAACATGTGGTTTGAAACGTGTTTCACCAAATGCAAAAGCGACGTCAATCAATGAGCCATCGGTAGCCAGCAGTGATTCGGGCAACTCGTCATTGACTTCGACGAAATCGTCTGCATCTCCAGCGGTTACGCGACAATCATCACATGGAATTACTAGAAGGTTGGTGCTCATTTTTTTTTTCTTTTCCATTTATTTCTATCGTTTGTTTGTTTATTCGTTTTGCTTCGTTTGAAAGATTGATTTTCTAATTTTCTCAGTTTTATTTTGTATTTCGCGCCTTGTGGCTTTGTCTTGGCTCATTTTCACACAATATTTCTTCTTGGCATCGTTTCTATTTTGACCGAACGATAATCTTGCAAATCGTTAATATATAATCGCATGCGAAGAGGAAAATGCTTGAGTGGAAAAGAGCGAAGTGGATAGAAATGAAGACATGGGCATGCAAACGGCTAGATCGTTAGATATATTGATAATTATTATCGAGGTTTCACACAGTAAAATGGCTTGATATATGAACACGTCCCGCTTGGTTGTTGCTATTCAAAACGCTGTTGTTGGTCGAGCTAACCATACAGCGCGATATACAGCAATTTAGCGGTAATAATCATAAAACCTAATGGCAAATGGTCATTTTTCATAAGCAAAACTAGTTAATGATGCGAAGCAAAGAAGTAGTATAAGTCGATCCTTCAGCGGTTTGTCGCGTCAACAACGATTAAATGCAATAAACATTGGCTTCAATCGAAGAGACTCTTTTGCAAAACTACGTGCATTTTTTTTTCGTTTCAACTCTCGCAATTTTTACGACTGGCAAAATAAAATGAGTCGAAAACCGACGCAAAGAAACTCTTTATAGTTTCAAACATAATGCTCAAGTGGCTGTTGGCTACGAATAGAGGTTGGATTTTTTTTCTCTACAACTTTGAACCGAGACAGACGTTCACTTTCAGCATATATCTTGTTTTTGTTTTGTGACACACTCAAAGCATAAGAATCGTTTTGTTAGAGAACGACAACAAAAAACATTGATTTAAATATTAATCGGACCGCGAATTGAATACAAACAACGACGATTTGGCGTCAGTGTTAGCGCTGAAATACAAAAAAAAATGGCTTGTTTTCAACATCAAGAATACTTGAATTCATCCGAGGCAAAGGGCATTTGATTCGCGCACATCATCAGTTTCTTGTTGCTTCGTTTCATGTTCAAATCATATAAATTGTGATGGAATTTGTGTGTTTACGATGAAGATAACATCTTTTCAGATTGAAACAAACACAATTCTCCCATTCATATTCACAAGTCGCCATGCCCGCCAAAGCAAACAATACCAACAATTATATCTTCGTTTATTTAATAAGACCCTGTGCAAAAAGAGATATTATTTTTATCTATAAAAAAAAAATGCAATGAATGAAGTGAACCAATTAACATTGTTCTTAATTTAATTGAGAATTCGTTTGAAAACGCGCGCCCAATCGCGAACTTCAATCGCGACGTGTGTGTGTGTGTGTTTGAGTGACTGTGTATCCGAACTGTATTTCGTCGAAAAATCAATGTGCTACATGTGTGTGATCTACAAATAATAGGTCGTACTTATATTCGAGACGCATTCATTACCTATATTTTCGCTTCAATTATTTGTTGTGCTCGCAAAGAGAATTTAAATAAATCGACGTCGGTCGCTGGTGCTATCGGCTTCCTTTTTTGTGTTCTACAACGGCCCGAGCACGAAACCGATTGACACACATATTCATGCGTATCTTAAACCACGAAGCATAACGTAAATATAACCGTACTCGCGAACGCATTTTGCGCACTATAGCTTGAATAAATGATGAATTTAGTGCTTTATTTGATTTACAAGAGCCCGCTTGTGCGCTCTTCACATGTCATTCGCATTTTTGAGTGTTGAATTCTACATGAAGCATCTACGTATATCGAACGGCGCAATTTCTTTTGGCGCATCGAAACGCGCTCGCCTCATAATTAAAACATTGAGCAATATTTTTGCACATGCGATTGTTTAGACGAGGCAATGTTAAAGCTCACAAACAAACCGACGAGAGAGAAAACGAAACAACGCGAGATACAAAGCAATTGCATGAAAACAAGTACGCTAATTTTAATACCCATTTGAGAGAACACTGCCAGGGTTTTTGTTTTATCGATGAATACGCTGCTGTTTTTCTCAGCCTAGCTTAAAAGGTTATCATGTTTGTAATCACTGGCAATTTGGTGGAGGAAAAAGAGCAAAACAAGATAGAACAAGTGTGCTTGCATGTTCTAATTGAAAATGGAAGTTTGAAAAACATAACATTTTTTTTCGGTGAGATAACAACATTTTTTTTTTCTGGCACTGCTGTCTGACTTGGTCGCTTTCTCAAATGGTGATTACAGAAATGTGGGACTGAGAATCATAATAATTGATTTATGGTCTCTTTCTCTATACGCGCGCAATGCACGAACTCTCTCTCCGCCACTTTAATGATATCATTCAATTTTAACGGTCGTTTTTGTTTTATTGTAATGAATGAGTCTCTTTATTTTAGGCCATTTCCCAAAGATTTAGTGATCTGGTCATATAAAATTCATGTTTTGTGACATTCATATTTTAATTATGTACGCTATCATTCACATAATTCAGTATTTAATTGAATAACTCGAAGAGAAAAACCACATTATGAAGAATCTCGAATGAAATTAGAAAAATGGAATGAATAAAAGAAGTAGAGACAAAAAAAAGTCGAAGAACTACTGCAGTTTATGAAGAAAAAATCTGAATTTCTATATGGAATGACAGTGAAGTATAAAACTTCAAGTTTTGTTTTCGACGTTACAAATTAAATAAAGTCAGCTAAATAAATCCAAATGAAAGCCATTTGATGAACAGTTGAAAACAGAAAATTTTATGTTGACCACCGCCCAAACCACTCGAATGGGTTAGATCGTTTGAATATGAAAAATGTCAATTTTTGGCGGTCTCTGTATGGCAAGTACAAAAACTACGAGGAAATGACTACAATCAATTACAAAACTACGAGCACATTAAATGAAATCCACTTGAGCTTTGTGTACACAATGTATGCTATTTGCTTGAAACACGACTATTCATAGATTAACCTATTGATTACTTAATAGCCATTTAATGCAGCGTGTCATCTATGTTCAATGTGAGTGTATTTAAGGCACCGTCAAACGTTCAATCACCAATTAGAATTTAAGCCACGAAAGTACAAAGTCACAGTTCTACAACTGAGTGGCGGGTGGCGACGGTGGGCAACAATAAAAAGCCGTTTATTGCATTAAAGTGCTTCGTATCGTGGAATGGCACGTATATACAGCACACAAGACACAACTGATGAATGCGACGTTTGTCGTATTCGCATTGTTCGTCCATATATTTTATTTTTAACTATGTCTCGCGCTCTAAGCATTAAAATGCAATTTTTCCCTCTTTGCACACACTTTAAATCATATCACGTTTGTCAATTGTTTTTTGCTCACTTGTTTTTCCATTTTCTCTTCTATTTCTTTCTTCAATCGCGACAGAAGCGTCGAACGAGACAGCAGTAAAGACAGTCATTTAAGTTCTAGTCGAGATGCAGCCGTTGCAACACCGGGAAGACAACCGAAGTCGACAACACCAAGCTCACGTAAGTTACACATGCACAAAAACAATTTTCAATTTTAAATTAAGCAATTCATTGTCTACCATTTTTTTTCTTTATTGCTTCTTCATTCCCCATGTACGCCATTCTATTTGTTAATAACTTTATTATGAATCGTCTGTTCGCTGGAAAGAAAAAAAAAACTAAATGCATTTGATAGATTTTTAGTATTCGCCTTGCGATGGGCTATTAAAATTTCGTTACGAATTCGTTGCATAAATTCAGGCGCTTTCTTTTCCCACATCGTGCTCAACTGATTTTGAATCACGACGAGCCACTTGGACCATTTTGCTGTATGTGAAGTGAACATAAGGAAAGTCGAATAAGAAGATGGATTTAGTGTTCGAGTTAATGAGATCGTAGAGTGACAAGTCCAAACAGTTGTTTCACTTCATGCTATAAATATTTAAGCAGGTCTGTTGGTATAGAGTGTGATGCCGTTGTGGCCCAGTTTGTAACGTGACGCCGCAATATTTCGTAACCGTGAAAGTTTATGCACATTACGAGTGAGTGCAACGTGACTTTGTTCCGTTCTTGACAACTTTTCAAACGAAAATTGCGATTTTAATTAAAAGTTTCGGTCGTTTCGTGGTAAAAGTTTACAAATCCTCCGACGTATTCGCGCGACTTGAAATAACTGCATTTTGAAAGTTTAAAACATTTGAGGCACTATTTAATGACACGAATATTCAATTTTCGGCAAATCCTTATCGCTTTTCCAAAGCGTTATGACAACCCATTCAGTTCTTTGTTTTGAATAAGTTTCGTAATTCTCAAACATTAATTAAATCATATTATGTGCACATTTGCACTTCGAAATGGTTAATATTTCATGCGAATACTCGTGCCACATGCACACATCCGTTAGACGAAGCGTTTGTTTTGTTTGAATTGAAATTCTGCTCGAGTTGAAACATAAAAATCATAGAATGAATGAAAGAGCAAAGAAAAAACGACGTAAATAAAAAATCACGTTAAAAAAAAAAGTACGAAGACAATAGCAAAGATGTTTATCGGAATTTTGTGTGTTTAAAACCTGTAATCCACCGTTGAATAAATGTCCGAATGGGCGGCCCACAAACATGTTCATCACATCTAGCTGACAGTGCATTGAACGATCAAGACTTTTGATCGATGTGTAAACACTCCTTCGAGCGAGCGAAAAACTATGTTGAAACACATGCGCCGCCGCCGCTGCCGCCGACCAGTCACCGTAAACGATGATAAATTTGATAGTTTAATCGCTCATTTGCACAAATAAAATAAACACCATTTTTCTCATAAAAACTGCGTCGAATTAGAGCATTCGGATGTTTGTGTATGATGCGTGCGTTAAGTGTATCAATCTCATGGGATTTTTCATCTAAAAATACTGACAACCGGTTGAGAAAAATCGCGCATTTCCATTCAGTAGCAGTCGACTAAGGCTGGTTGTAAAATGCAATGCACATACACCTAGATACCCTTTTACATTCGGTTCTCATCCGTTGTGTACTTTTTTCTGCAGTTTTTCGTCATGTTTATTTTGGTTACAATTTAAATATCGCCGCTTCAATTTTCCTGTTCGTTCGTATTCTCTTGCGTGCCCACAAATATGCCGAACGTTACGCTTTTTCACAATCAACGTCGACGATCAACACGAAAGAAATTGTGTCGTCGTTCGATTCAGCTTCATCAAATCATTGTTTACATTGTAGGCTCGTTCGTTTGCTCTCGAAACAAAAATACACATATTTTTTGTTATGCAAAAGATCATCTCAAGTCGAAATTCTCGCGTAATAGAAACACATTCCGCGAATTGTACAAAGAAGTAGCGGAAAAAACGAGACCAAAACAGAAACAGTTACGTTGGACGACTTGGTTCATTTGTGTCATGCAATCGGAAATAATTTCTATGGGATTATCGCAGATAAAAGGCAAACAATAAGAGGCTCACTAGAGAGATTTAGTCTATTGTAGCGGAAGAGGAACAAAAAAACATTTGAATTCGTAAATATGATGATATCTTTTTTTTTGCTTCGCCAAATCCATTGTGTATGTGGATACCACGCATACAATCCATCTTTCTGCTTAAGAACATCATTGAAAACGGAGCGAAACATAAATGCATTGTTCACTCTATCGCTCGCTCTGTTTCCATGTCTCTATGGAGAAATTGGCAAGAGACGTGAGTGCTTCTCTGGACAGAGCCATGCGAAGTGTTTATTCAAATGTAATAAAGGTTTCTTTTCATTGCACATTTCCCGTTATCAAACAACTTTCGAAACCGTTCATTCCAACGACATTGTTGGAATGGATACTCACATTACATACGAGATGAGATCGGCAATATGATCCACCATATCATCACACACTGCGAAAAATTCTCTCTCTCTCTCATCGCTCATTTCACTCGCTTCATTCTAAGCGTTCACTTGTCTTCGTCAACTTGTTTTCTAAACGTCCGTCTCTCTCTCTCTCTCTCTCTCTCTCTCTCTCTCTCTCTCTCTCTCT